TTAATGCCTTCTACCCTCCTACTCTTTAATAAAGACTCACTCAGCTACTCGTAATGGTGCCCAAGTGCGATCTGCTGTAGCAATAATTCATTCATTTCCGGCATCTAACTTGCTAGATGACTTCCTGAAAAAATTACTAAAAGATTATTACTAGCTTTGTCAAGATTGCCTTTTTCTTAACATTTTTCCTTCTTCAAAGAGGTATAGAACAAATGGGGGTAAGAAACAAAAAATACAAATAAAACGAAAATGACAAAAACAAAAACAAAAAGAAAAAACAAAGAAGAATATATAAAAGGAAAACAAATACAAAAGGGAATATAAAAAAAAAATTACAAAGAAAACAAAACAAAAAGAATAGCAGAAAATTCTGTTTTTTTTGGCACTACTATAACCTGTGCTGGGCTGAAAAAATTATATAACAAATATGATATTTGTATATCTCTATTGTAAAGTTTCATCTTATCAAGTAAATTTTCTGACTAGGTTATCCGGACTTCTAAACGATGTAAGCAGCCAACCTCGGTATTATGTGAAGCAGCACAGTCTATAAACAAAACAAACCAGACACATGATCGCAGTCTGCTGGAACTGTTCAAATTTGGGAGGAGTAAACAATACTGATCTTTTAGAGAGGATAAACCGTTTTGCCCACTTTTGTGGGAAATTTTGGAAGAGCGATGAGGAGGTGGAAAAAAGAAACAAAACCACTTTGTTTTGTTTAGTAAAGAAGTGTGTATTTTCTTTACTCAACACACTGCATCCATAGAAAGGCGCAGGTACTCTCCTTATTTTTTCAGGTAAGTGAGTTGGAAAGAGTTAATAATAACTATTTAATTCTAAATTTTAATATGTTTTTAATACTTTTCTTATCTTTACTTTAGATTTAAATATTTATTTATTTATAATTGTTTATATAACTTTCTAGATCAACTACCATATGTTTCTGAAAATAAGCTACCTCCAAAAGAAGCTACCCCCCTTTTCTCTTGAAGAGAAAACATAAGAAACACTTTTGTTCTGAAAATAAGCTATCCCTATTAGCCGCAAGTAGTTGCTACATATAAAAGTTGAAATTTTACTAAGTAAATCGACCAAAGCCGCTTAATAGCGATTGTTAAGGAAATAAAAATACACCTATTCTGAAAGCTTCAAGCGAAACAGAGAACTTTTTACTAAGATGTTTTTGCATTTTACGTTCAAACGTAAAATGTAAAAAAATCTTAGTAAAAAGTTCTCCGTTTCGCTTGAAACTTTCAGAATAGGTGTATTTTTACCTTCTGAACAATCGCTATTAAGCGACTTTGGTCGATTTACTTAGTAAAATTTCGACTTTTATATGTAGCAACTACTTGCGGCTAATAGGGGTAGCTTATTTTCAGAACAAAGGTGTTTCTTATGTTTTCTCTTCAAGAGAAAAGGAGAGTAGCTTCTTTTGGAGGTAGCTTATTTTCGGAAACATACGGTAAGTGTCAGATACTTTTCTTCTTTTAAATGCTTGAGAATTCACCATGATGTATTGTTCTTTAATTAATTCAAGCTGATCATTAAATTCTTTGCAAGATTTTGATTTTCCACTTGAAGATAAGCTTGACAATTGAGATTCCACTCAATTTCTGATGAAATTATATGAGGGATTTTGCTTTGTGTGCTAACTTTAAATCTTCCAATAGCAGAGAGAATAGTCTTTTTTAAGTTATTCCTAAGAGAATTATAACAGCCATTTGTGTTAGTATAAAATACGATGATATCGTAGTTTATTGCTTTTTGGCCGGTTACTGGATTATAGAGTTTTTTTGACAACATGAAGCTTTGTCAGCCCATATTGTCATTGGATTTAAATAAATTGGTAATAGCAGAAGCAGAATAAAGCAAAAGAGGAAAGCATAGAGAAAATGCTTAGGTGTCTAGTTAGAATTATTATAGGGGGAAAAAACGGGTACAGTTTGAACTAAGGAGATCTTTTTTTTTAAAAAAAAAAAAGTAGATATATTAAAAACATTAATCAGCTTGATTTAATTTATGGATATGTAAATCAGATAATGATTTAAAATTTAGTGAACTGACGTATTCAATATTTTCGTGATAAATATATCTTCTGACCATGTGTACAATAAAATTTTTTTCAAAATCAAGTATTAATGTTTTAGCATTTAAAGTGAAGCCTTTATAGATGATTTCCCTATATTCATCATCTTTGTCATTGACTTGGTATAACGCAGTTCCAGTTACAAATTTATTATTTCTGGAGACTATTTTGATGAAGCAAAATGCAATGAATATTGAAGACATATTAGTTATATTTAATAATCTGAAAAAAAAGCAAGAAAAGGATAAATATGATTTTTTTTGTGTTATCTTCAAATGTTTGAAAATAAAGAAATTGAGATTAGATTTTCTTGTACAATTTTAAGAGCATTTTATAGACAAAAAAAAAGGCAAGTTTAAATATATTTTATTTATTTATTCGGATATATTTGAGATAATAGTTAACTTATTATTTATTAAATTATTTTGATCAAAAGATAATAAAGAATATTTAATTGAAGAAATAGAAATCAGGCAAGTTATATTTTTGTTTAAAGTAGATGAGAAAAGTTTTTTATTTTGGTTGAAATGATATTATTAAGCAGTACAATATATTTTGTACTTTTTAACAATGAATAGTATTGTTTAAAGGAATCGTACAAGTTAATTGAACTTTATAATTTGTTGTTTTTATTATACAGTAAGGTAAATAGTTTTAATCGTAACTGTATAGTCACTGAGATTTTTTAAATTATTTTCACATATCTATGAAGAAATCAGTAAAGAATCTATTTCTTATATTTACTTGAATAAAATACAATAAAAATATTTTTTCATTGCATCTAATTGAGATAATATTTTATATATAATTAATTAAATAGATAGAAATTAGATAATAATTTAAATTTATATTTAGTTCTTGTGGGGAGTTTTTTTAAAATCAAATTTAATTAAAAAGTACAATTTAATTTTAACTTTTTTAGTAATCGATACTACTGCTTAGATATTGCTTGATATAATATCGAAGCTTATGAATTTTTCATATTTATATAATAAGGTAATATTTAAAATTGTATAGTTAAGAGAATTTTTTAAATTATTTCGCATATTTAGAAAAAGACTAACTTGTTATAGTTACTTGTATAAATTACAATAAGATAAGTGTTACTTTTTAAATATAATCGAGAGAATGTTTTATTCGTTCTTTATTTAGTAATTAATATTATTGTTTTGAGATTGCATGATATTATATCAGATTTTATGATTTTTAGTGTTTACGTATTAAGGTAGTATTTTAATAGTATAGTTTAGGAGAATTTTTTTTAATTATTTCGCGTATCTAGGAAAAAATCAGTAACAGGCTAACTTGTTATACTAATTTAAATATTCTTTATTTTATTATAAATTATATGACTGAAAAAATGTGATTAAAATATTTTATTCATTTGTTATTTAGATTGTAATACAAACAGAGGTTATAGTGTAAGGTAAAAGTTTTTTTCAAATTGATTTGATTTGATTTAATTTGATATAAAGTATGTAATTATTGAAAAAAATGATTTTTTAATTAATCGAATAAATGATTTTTTATAAAGAGATTCTTTTTTTTTAATTAAACCTAACTAATAAGCTTAATTTATTTTTATCTTTTTAGCAATCAATATTATTGTTTAGAGATCATAGAATATTACAATAGACTTTATGAATTATCAATTTTATATAATATGGTAATAATTATAATTATATAGTTTAGATGAATTTTTGATTTATTTCATATATCTAGAAAGAAATCAGTAAAAGACTTACTTGTTATACTTATTTGGATAAATTACAATAAAAGTAAGTGTTATTTTTTGAATATAATTAAAATGATGTCTTATTGATTCTTTATTAGATTCTATCATTTAACTAGATAAATAAAGATTAAATTGTAATTAAATTTTTTTTCAATCAGATCTAATTTGATTTTGATTTATTAGAATGTATTAGAATTTAGAATATATAATTACCAAGAAGGGAAAATTTATCCTTTCTTAGCAATTGATACTATTATTTAGATATTGTGCAATATCATATCACATTTTACGATTTTTCATCTTAATATAATAAGGTAATATTTAATGGTATTGTTCAGGGTAATTTTTTGAATTCTTTTTAGTATCTAGGAAGAAATCAGTAAAGAAGTTACTTGTTATATTTATTTGTATAAAACATGATACAAGCAAGTATTATTTGTTTGAATCAAGATAATATTTTATTCATTCTTTATTAGATTGTAAGATTTTAATAAATAAATAGAGATTAGATCGAAAATTAAATTTTTTTTAAAACTGATTTTATTTGATTTTTTTAGAATATATAAGCATTAAAAAGAATAACTTTTTATCGAATTGAATGAGTGGCTATATAATTAATTTTATTTTTCTATCAAAAATCAATACTATTGTTTAAAAAGAGATTATACGATATTATAGCAGACTTTATAATTTTTCATGTTGATGCAGTAAAATAATGCTCATAATAGTGTAGTTCTGGAGAATTTTTTTGATTTCGATGAAATTTTTTATAGTATAGTGTAGCTTGGTTTAAATGACTAAATTCTTTTTATAGTATAGTATAATTTCAATGAATATTTAATGTAGTTGGGCTAAGATCAAATGATTTTCTGTATGCGGATAATTATTTCTCATTATAGGATCGTGTGATTGAGATGACTTAAAAGTATTAGAGTAAAGAAGAAGAATCAGATTCTCTTTACAGTATCTATTAGTAAACATATTTTGAATGTAAATAATTTATTTATTTTTTTTTTATACAATAAAGATTTGTTTTCCAAAATTAGGTAAAGCTATTTTATAGGATCACTAGTTGAAGTAAAATTTTTTTTTTAATAATAATTCAAAAATAAATCAAGTTAAGCAAAATTAATCTGTCATTCCATGATTGGTGAATTAATAAATGAATATCTAAATTAAGATTTGTGTTTAAAAGACTATATAAATAAGTTTTTATTAATATAAATTTTTTTTTTTATAAATATGCTAATTATCTATAGCAAAGTAAAACAGAGTACTGGAAGCAAAATCATAATAAAGATCAAGAAAGATCACTAGAACTCATAGAAAACAACTTCAAATTTGTGATATGTTCACTTTTCTTTTATAGCCTGTTTTTTATTAAAAATGATAAAACTACTAACCATAAAATGCTAAATCTTTATTTGAAATAGCTATACATGTTGCACAAATATGAAAGAGCCATGGTAATCGATGAATTCTTGATTGTATTTAACTTTTTTAATATTAGCACCTATTTGTGTAATATATTTACTATAAAAGCTAATTTGATATCTGATATTTATTGTCAAGTTTTATTGGTTGACAAGAACAATCTTTTCCATAAACTTTCGCATAAATTAAATACACTAAACATATTGAGCAAGCGTTCAAATGAAATTTTAATAATGTTGATATTATAATAATAAATTTATTTGTATGTAAAACAGTATTATATTTATTATAGTAATTTTTGGAATTAGAACAATGATGTAATTTAGACATAGATATTATATCAATATTACAGTTAATAAAAATTGAATGAATTCAAAAATATATTTAATTTAGATATCAATATTACAGTAAATAAAAATTAAACAAATTCAAAAATATATTTAATTTAGATATCAATATTATAGTAAATAAAAATCGAACAAATTCAAAAATATATTTAATTTAGATTTTAATATTACAGTAAATAAAAATTGAACAAATTCAAAAATATATTTAATTTATGATATAGATATTATATTTTTATATACCGATCATGCCGAAAAAATTATTAGCCAAAAAATTTTTCGGGCGATTTTTTTATAGGTGTCCCAGGAATAATAAAAACAGCTGTAAAATAAAAAAATTTTAATCGAATATGATCAAGTAAGTGTTAAGTAATCTTCATTCAAATTTTAAATATCCGTAAAAAAAAAGCTGCTGCTAAATTTTTTTTCCAGCTTTTAATTGATATTTCTCAACACCTGTTTATTTAATTTCAGTAAAATTTTTTTGTTTTAATCCTACATAAATGCAGAATCAAAATAAAAATAAATTTATTGAATTTGAATATATGGGTGTTGAGAAAACATCATTTAAAGATTTGTAAAAAAATTTAAGAAAAAGAAAGTTGCAATAAAATTATTTATTTAAATTTTAATTAATAATTGCTCAACAACCATCTATCCAATTTCAATGAAATTTTTTTTGTTTTGATTCTGCAAATTTACAAGATTAAAATAAAAAAAATTAACTGAAATTAAATAAACAGATGTTGAAAAATATCGATTAAAAGTTAAAAAAAAATTTGGCCACAGCTTTTTTTTTACTAATATCTAAAATTTGAACAAAGATTACTTGGCACTTACCTGATTTTATTTGATCAAATTTTTTTATTTTAATTCTATAATTTGATAGAATTAAAATAAAAAAAGTTGCAGGTGAATGCATGTGTGGGACATGCACCACTCTGTTGGGTTTACCACAAGGATAAATGCCTTCTGTTGTTGGCT